TGAGTAAACTTTTTTTATATATAATATGCAAGATTTGCCACATCACGGAGAGCTGAGTTTCTGCAGGACATGAAGAATTGCAGCTATCACCACATGTGGAACAGATGGGTAAAACTCACATTGTGGTGAGTCTCAAGGGGAACATGAGTTGGACCTCTAATAATCAGAAACCATTGCTGTGACTTACAAAATATATAGACAGGGAAAGGAGGAAACGTGGGGGAAAACACATTGCTCTACAGTGAACAAAATTTGTTTGCTTTCCCTGAAAGTAGTGCCTCGTGTTCATGAACTCACTTCCCTAAGTATTTTCAAATGCTGGGAAATCAGGCCAGAGATGCAGCTTCAGTTTGGATAGCTGGAAAACACATGGATGAAATACACAGGAATTAGTACATTCATTTTGGATATTTTTGTAACTGTGTTTTCCTTGAAACTACGAACAGTATAGTTTTCCATAAATATTCTCTCCTTTTAAATCTAAGTACCGATGGGGTAGTAGGAAACATGGATACTTTATTCATAGCAATGGGTTGGGGAGGAGAGACACTGGAAAAAGGGCAAAGTTTCAACCAAGGAGCTGACAGCACAATGTTACACCCACTGTGTTCTCTCTTGTGTTTTCTTTTTCTTCCTGGCATAAAGACTAAGAAATGTTGCAGTTATCTTGGCACTTTCTGTTTTTCCATGTGGGCAACTCCAACATTATGGATCGGATCCTAAATTTTCACTCTATCGGTGGAAAGAGCTTCTTTTGTTTGCAGCTCCCCTCCCCTAAAATAGAGCCTTCTTCTATAAGGAACTGAAAATTTAGGAGCCAAGCCATGAGATACAAAGTGGGGAACCTTGTGTAAGGCTAAGGATGTCATCTGACCACCGATCATGCTGGCTGGATCTGAGAGTTAGTGCCCAACATTACCTGGAGGGACACTAGCTCTGGTTATAGATTTAAGAACATTTACTTCGGATTAAGGCAAATAGCAGCAAGACAAATAAGCAGACAAACAAGACAAATAGCAGACACCCTTAGAAAGGCAAATAGCATCCAAAGCAGCATTACACATAAGATAGGGACTTGGAATGTGAGGAGCATGAGCCAAGGGAAGCTAGATATAGTAAAAATGGAAATGTATGAACATAGCAGTACTGGGGGTGAGTGAGTTAAAATGGACAGGAATGGTCCACTTTGAATCAGACAACCACATAGTGCTCTGCTCAGGAAATTAAAAGACAAGAAGAAATGGGGTGACTTTCATACTAAGAAAAGATGTGGCAAAATCAGTCAGTAGATACAATGCAAAATTAGACCAAATAATTTCAGTAAGACTTCATGGTAAACCTATGAATATCAACATAATTAAATCTAAGATATGCAGATGACACCATAGTACTAGCAGAAAACCTCACAGACCTGGAACACCTACTAAGGAAGATCAAGTAAGAAAGTGCAAAGGCAGGTTTAATGTTGAACATAAAGAAAACAAAAATAATGACCACCGAGGACCTTCACAAGTTCAATCTAGACAATGAAGAAATAGAAATAGTAAATGAATTCCTATACCTGGGATCAAACATTGATAAAAATGGGGACTGCATTCAGGAAATCAGAAGACTAAGAATGGGGAGAGTGGCTATTGAGTCTAAAATGCAAAGATATACAACACAGCACAAAAGTCAGAATTATACAAGCCATCTCATTCCCTGTTGCCATGTATGAATGTGAGAGTTGGACAGTCAAGAAAGATGATAGGAAGAAAATCAATGCATTTGAAATGTGGTGCTGTAGAAGAGTGTTGAGGATCCCGCGGACAGCCAAAAGGACAAACAAATGGGTCTTAGAGCAGATCAAGCCGGAAACCTCCCTGGAAACCAAGAAGACTAAACTGAGGCTGGCTTACTTCAGACACATCAGAAGAAGTAAGGACTCATTGGAAAAAACAATAATGCTGGGAAAGGTGAAGGGAAGAAGGAAGAGAGGAAGGCCACATGCCAGATGGATGGTCTCTATTAAGGAAGTTATGGGTATTAAGGGGTTGCAGGAATTAAGCAGAGCAGTGGAGGACTGAGGGCCTTGGAGATGTCTCATCCATCAGGTTGCCATGAGTCGAGATCGACTCAAGGGCAGTTAACAACAAAAACCTTGGATTACACATTCATAGGATTCCCCTGTAAATTACCTCTTTCCAATGGGTGGCATATAGGCAGGGCTCACTTAGTCAAAGTGCCAGCACTTTGACAATTAGCAGGGACTAATCATATGCTTTACCCAGATATCCCTGTTTCTCCTGAACTCAGATCTTCCCTGCACTGGACAGGATTTGGAGTATTATGGAGCTGCATCTGCCCCAACTTGTCCCTATTACCTCAATCTCTGTTCCTGCGCTATGGCAGCTGCCTGGTCTCCCCATTGGCCAATGACCATCTTGGCTAAGGAATTTGGGCAGGTGCAGTCCAAAATAACACTTCCAAGTTTGTCATTGTTAAGATTTCTGGGCCCAGTATAAGGCGTTGGTTATTACCTTTAAAGCCCTAAATGGCTTGGGTCCAACTTATCTTCAGGACCGCCTCCTTCTATACAATCCTCCCCGCGCACTCCGGTCCTCTGGGAGGAATTTACTTTGGCCAGTAAAATCAAGGCTGTCTGCTACATCCCAGAGGGAATTTTTGGTAATTGACCCCAGATTATGGAATGGCCTGCCAGACGAGATCTGTCAGATCACGAACTTAAGCAGCTTTAAAAAAGCTGTGAAGATGGATCTCTTTCGGCAGGCCTTTCCTGATTAGATCCCTGCCTCTTTTTTTTTAGTTTTAGTCTTTTTAGTTTTCAGCTCGCCCTCTGCTCTCGTTTGTTTTATAGTCACTCCAATGACTTTATTTTATCTTGTTATTTTATGCTATGATTTTAATGGATGTGTAGTTTAATAATTTTTTAAGGGGGTGGTGGTGGGGTTTCTGGGTTGTTTCTTAATCTGTATTTTTGTGTAATTGTTAACTGTTGTAAGCCATCCCGATTGTTTGACAGAGGGGCGGGGTATAAATAAACTATTATTATTATTATTATTATTATTATTATTATTATTAATCAAACAGGGCAACAGCCAGTAGCTTGCTTGCTTAGAACACCTTTTTCTACTGTACAGGAATATCAGATAATTATTTATTTCCTTAGCTGTCTGCATTTTGAAATTTTTGTGATTTGATATAGAATGTGTAGCCACACATTGGTTTATGGATTTTCAGAGAGGCTTGCATTGTCCAGTTTTTGAACTTTTTAGTTGCACAGTACAACCAAAAATTAATCAGTTCCAGTTGTTGGAAAAGAATGACTCACAGTTTACTGGTATTTCAGACCACAGCTCAGTACATTAAAAAAAATACTTCCAAGATTTACTGCAGTCACTGATTTCACTTAGATTTAGCAATCACACTATAAAAGACCTATACAGTTGGCCCTCTATATCCATGTATTCTTTATCCATGGATTCAATCATCCAGGATTCGAAAATATTTTGAAAAATATAAATTCCAAAAAGCAAACCTTGATTTTGCTATTTTATATGATACACCATTTTACAACACCATTATATTTAATGGGACTTGAGCATCCATGGATTTTGGTATCCACTGGGAGTGCTGCAACCAACCCCTAGTAATGGATACTAAGGGCCGACAGTATTGCCAAATGACAGAAAATGAGCCTAACCTCCATGAATATAATTGTGTCTGTTCAAAAGTAATTTTTTTGATAGTAGCAGAAGATTGTTAGTTCTATATCGCTATATGTATGTAGTTTCCGCATCCAGATTATCCTTCTGGGTTTTTGTTGTTTTAATTCATGCAGGAGATTCCTCCAGAACATGCACCCATACGAACAAGTACTGGAGGAATTATGCTACTTTTAAAATATCTTCTTAAACAAATCCTTCCCAGACTTGGCATTTGCTCTCGTAGCAGATATCCTTTTAAGACACTCAGCAGCTGGAAGGGATATTTACTGGAAAAAATGTGGAGGGGGCTTTCTGAAAATATCTTTCTTATGCTGAATTCCTGATCTGATTTGGGGTGGGGGCTGAATGATAGACTAATGGTGGTGGCGAGTTCATGGCATCAAACTGTGTTTTGTAGCCCAGGACCCTTTTACAATGGGGCCTATTCCTAAGTAGATACACTGAGGTATGCTTTACTGAAGCGCCAACTGGTGCTGAAGTGTCTCCTGAAATTATAATTTAACAAGTCTGGATCTAACCTATTGTTGCTTATCCAGTGTGTCTTGGACAATCAAGTTCCTACATTGATATGCCCATAAAAAGATTGTCTTTGTATACTAAAGGATACAAAGTAAAAGGTAAGAACAGGAAGGAAGCAAAAACCTCAAGTGCAGGCTGGTGAACTCAGCAATGTGGCATAATAAATGTTGGCTGATGCAGGCATGTTCATCCTTTGCACATTACATTACAAAGAAAGTTCAATGATAGAGTGCAAACCCCATCATGTCCTCTGCAATACTTTTTAAACACAACTTGGAAAATTTACTTTTTCAGACTATAGGTCTCAGCCAGGAAAGCCAGTCAATTCTGTGAGGTGTAGTGCAAAAACGTTTTCCAAGCTCAACATTTTAATGGAGTCTGTGCTCACTTGTAGCTATGATTCACAGAATATTGAACTGCCAATTGTGAAATCAAGCTCTATACAGGTGTTTATGGAATTCCAAAACTTTTATTTGCACTGTTTTTCTCAATCACCAGGACTGAGCCAAGAGAGGGTGATAAGGTTTTCATGCATGAAGTACAGGAGAGGGACATGCACCTTTCTTTCTTTCTTTTGAAAGCTAATCTGCTTTATGGTATTTAAGAAGGTCATGTTGTTGTTGTTGTTGTTGTTGTTGTTGTTGTGTGCCTTCAAGTTGTTTCCAGTTTATGGCAACCCTAAGGCAAAACTATCATGGGGTTTTCTGGGGCTGACAGTTTGCGACTCACCCAAGGTCACTCAGTGGGTTTCCATGGCCAAGTGGGGAACTGAACCCTGATCTCCAGAGTCCCAGTCCAACACCCAAACCACTATGCCACTCTGACTCTTGGTCAAAATTAGTTGGATAATCTGACATTAAGAATTGAAGATTTTTCTAAGGGACCATCTATGTGTGTGTGTTAACCACTTTCAAGTTAGACTTATGGCAACACTATGAATTAAACATCTCCAAGTCACTCTGTCCTTGATAGCCTTGCTCCGGTCTTCCAGACTCAGGCTTCCCTGGTTGAGTCTATCCATCTGGTTTGTGGTCTTCCTTTTTTCCTGCTTCCTTCAAACTTACCAAGCATTATTGTCTTTTCTAGTGATATGACCAAAATATGACAGCTTTAATTTAGTCATTTTGGCTTCTAGGGAGTGTTCAGGCTTGATTTGTTCTAGGACCCATTTATTTGTCTTTTTAGAAGTTCGTGGTATCCACAGAGCTTTTGTCCAACACCCACATCTTAAATGAATTTGTTTTCTTCCTATCAGCTTTCTTCACCATCCAGCTCTCACACCCATACATAGTGATGGGAAATACAGTGCCATGGACAATCCTAAGTATTCAGTGAAATATCTTTGCACTTCAAGGTCTTTACAAGTTCTTTTATAGCTGACCTCACAAGTCTTAGGGGCTATGCAGACCGGCCTAAAGGGCTGGCCTACGGGTGCAGTTAGGGTGGGGCAGTTGCACGCCGGCCACCCCAACTCAACCCCAACGCCATCCTGACGCTGCACACCCATCCGCATGGCACATGACATGCAGTTGCCGCAGCCCCAATCTGTCGCTCCCAGGGGCGGCTCTGTGCCGCTCTTTTAGGTGGGTCTGTAAAGGCCCTTAGTCTTCTTCTGATTTCTTGACTCCTTTTGCTCCATTCTGATTAATGACTGACCCAAGGTATGGAAAACCTTTTAATTATTTCATTTTGTTGCACCTACATTAAAGTTAAGCAAATCATCCATGATCATTATTTTTGTTTTTTTTAATGTTCAGCATTAAACCTGCCTTAACATTTTCACTCTAGCCACCTAGCCCACCTTAATTGTACTGTAGTAACCTCTATCCAAATGAAAATGAACAAGCATGCAACATTTTTCATATGGGTAGCAAGTTAAATTTCTCTTAACTTGAAGGAAACATTTAAATTATCGGTCCATCAAAATGTCTATTGTTACTTACTGCAACATAGTCAAAGATACAGGAACTGTGAGATTCTATTTCAAAATCTGTGAAGTTCAACAGAACACGGTAACCAGAGTCAACTTGGATGACCCAAGAACAGTCAGTACTGTTGCTGTAAGGCTGAGGATAGTTGGGAGAATGGATTTCACCATGCGGAGCTTGGAAAACTCCTCCACATCCTAGAAATTGGGCAAAGAGCATTGGTCAAACAAATACATCTTTACAAATAATTGAAATAAATATCAAGTTTATAAGTAGGGGTGTGAAAATCCTGCCAGCTCTGGTTCTGTTGCATTTTGTCCCATCTAAAAAATCATGCCAGTTCTGTTTCTGCCAACAATTTTGTCCTATCCAAATTATATATTCTGTTGCAAGAGATATTTTTTTCCACATGCCTGCCTGCATGGAAATTCATGTATATTTTGGTCATCTATTTGAGTGTGTACCTGTGTCTGCATAACTTCAAGTTGCCTATCAACTTATGGAGACGTCAAAAGTTTCTCCTAGGAAAGGAATATTCAGAGGTGGTTTGCCACTCCTTTCCTCTGAAATATAGCCTACAGCACCTGGTATTCTTTGATGGTTGCCCATCCAAGTACTAACTGAGCCTGACCCTGCTTAGCTTCTAATATCAGGTGAGGTCTGGTGCCTTCAGGGTACTTAAGCTGAGTTTTTCCATGTCACAAAAACTCTGTGGGGGAGCTACTAATGAGAAAGAATAGCTGGTTCATGGTTGCTCAAAGGGTTTTGTGCCAAGAAGGAATTAGAACAAAGATGTTCCAAGTTCAAGTCCAACTACCCAATTAACTAGAACTCTGCTGCTTCCTGCTTCTGAGACAGGAAATGGCAGGTTTGATAGTGAATGACAGTGATACTCATCATAATTTATCCTTTCTATAAGTTAAAGTTCTTTACTGCAACAAAACAATATTTAGATTACCAGTTCTTGCTTTTGTCCAACTTTCCACTAAACATGTGCTTGGTGGCAAATAAAGATGCTCTGATCTCACTGTCATTCAGTTTCAAACTGGATCTGCCAAGTCCTTTTACCCTCCAAAAACTGTAATTTTGATGGTAGAAAGACAGTCACAAAGCAGTGGGAAGAAGAAAGAGGGCTTCACAGCTGAGAAAGATGGACTTTCCTTGGTTCACCAAAATGTCATCAAGCACATCCTTAAAACACTCATGTATATACACACACAAACCAAAGCAAACCAGACCTCCTTCACTATTTAAATTGGGATGGCAATATGTGTCCCTCAGGACATTGTTGGACTCCAGCTTCCATGAGCTCTAGCCACCATAGTCAAATGTGGGGATAACAGGAGCTTTGGTCCAACACATTTAGATGGCTACAAGCTGATCACCCCTATTTAAACCTTAATATATTTTTTAAAAAGATCATAGCAAAAATATGTACATGGGAACACCTCATTAGCAGTTTAACTGCCTTGTGAATGAAATAAGCAGAATGCTTCCTGAATTCTGTCTTGCAGCATATGACATACTGAGTAAAATGCTGCACCTCTAACATCCCTTTGACTTCACAGTTTACTGTTCTCAAAGCTTGCAAAAATTACTTTGGGGGCTAAAACTCCCGGAATCTTCCAGTCATCATGATGGTTGAGGGATTCTGTGAGTTATAGTCCAAAATGTAACATTTCCAAACTCAGATTATTCTATAAATGGAGTCCAGTTAAATCTTGGGGCTTACCCCCCCCCCCGAAAAGCTGTGATTTAGCTTAATCCATGTGATTAATTCTCTAAGGCATTTGCTAACTGCCATTTTAACTTCTTATCCCTAGCTTTACTGTCCATGAACAAATAAGCAGAGGAAGACTGGGATAACACCATGAAAAGAAAAATGTTATTGACCACAGTAATTAAGTATGAGTGCTTCACCTTCACAAAAATGTTGGGGGCTTCTGCCCTGCTCTGGACCCCAGATCCAGTACTATCAATGCCCCAGGACCCCCCAGCCAGCACACAAAATCACTCTCACCTCCAGGTATTTCTTGCCAAGTAGCATTGAATCCCCTTCCATTCACTGATCTGTCTGTTTTAAATCGGACTACAATTGCATTTCCAGTGCTGGAGATATGCAGAGGATTCTGCAAGGTTCTTGGCACACACAGCTGGGCCAGTCTGGGAGAAGATAAGTCAGGCCCACCATAGATCTAGAAACAAGATATAAGCAGGAAAAGTAATGGTGAGCACATAAATGAGCAACAATTAAAAGTATAATTTTCATTTATATTTTCATATAAATTTATATATATATATTAATTGGATTTTTTTATACAATATAACATTCAGATAAATATACATCCTGTGGTGAAGTATATAATGGTGTCCAGCCACATTTCTATTTAGGAAAGTTGAAAAAACTGGCATTTGAATCTTACTTCAGCAATGGCAATGGAAAAGCACTGCCCTCTAAGTCTAAGGTCAGGATGCTGGTTTAGCAAGTTACATCTTGTTGTCACTCATCTTCCTATGTTGACTAATGACAGGCCTGATTCTGATGTACAGAATTGTGGAGGACAATGGGAGCAACCCAGATATCCATTCTACTACATATTCAATCTACCTGATTTATGGTCTGTGCAGAACTCACACCATCTCCTGAATCCAATGAAATATGTAACATCTGCAATCCTATGAATATATGGGATTGTCTTGCCCATTGTTCATTCACACATTGTCTTTCATTGGTCTAGATAAGTAGGCCTTAGAGTTCCTCACATAATGTGGAAAGAGCATGTAAACATACACACACACACACACACACAGAATTTGGGATTATTCCAGGTTTACATATAAACAGGGAATGGGGTAAAACAGAAAAGCCTTCCAGATCTTTTGGGACTAAATCTCCATAATTCCAAATCACTGCCTATGTTGGCTTGGATTAACCGGAGTTTTAAGTCAAAAGCATTTGAAGGGCCACATGTGTCCAATCTTGGCCTACAACCATCTTGCAGATTTTAGGTAATCTTGGTCTAGTCCATCAGCTCATCAATTGTTTAGAAATTTGTCAGGTTTGAATACTTCATTAATAATTTACAATTTCTTACACTAATAAAGAAATAGAAAAGTTTCAGTTCTTAAGGATCTTTGGTTATTTAACAGCAACATTTTGACTTGCATCTTATTCTAACAAGTAGCTTTCAGTTTTCCAACTTTACTACACTTTCACTGAGTGCTTGTTCCCCCTTTCTCTCCTTTGGTACTGTCACATTGCTATCTTGCAATATTTACAGTTTATATGTGTTGCTGGAAACAAATCCTAAGAAATTTTTATATTTAGCAGTTACAGGACTTTGTTCAAATGCTCATCATACTACTTTCAAAATTTAATGAACCTTTAATAAATTGCAAAAGGGCTCCCCTCAGGATATACATTTTGAAAGTAATTTGAAAACTGTTACAAAGATTTCTAAAATGTACATTTTGTAATGGGTATGTTGTAACACCCAGCGTGATTTTCTTTCTGACCTTAAACAAAGGTCTATATCCAAATGTTTGGCAATCTGAATCAGTCCCATAAATCCTACATACTGAAAATATCAGTATATTTATTTTGATTCACTCTGTTTGAATGCATTTATCACAATGAGATACTCCACCCAGCCATACCCTTCCTTTCTGGATGAAAGAAAAGAGCATTTATATATTTTCCCAAGAAAAATCCACAGTGGAAAGAACAGCACAACCCCTAAAATATGATTGCTTTGATTCATGCAGGATGTGAAGAATTATTTAAGTATAAAATATTTTTTCTCCCAAATGTGTTAAGAATGTTATTATTCTTTGGTTTGGTTAACAGCTGATTATAAAGGCTCAAAGCTCTGAGTAACTGCTTTCATTTGAGACAGC